GGGCGGGCAGCAAAGCAGGCAGCAAGGCAGCAAGGCAACCAAGCAGGTAGCGAAAAGGCACGCAAGCTGAGCAGCATGGCAAAGGAGACGGTAGTAAAGCAGAGGGTCAAGCACAGGAAGCAAAACAACAAGAGAAGTAGTGGCCAGGCGACCAGTCAAGCAACCTGGACAGGCAGGCAGCAGGGCAGCAGGGCAAGGCAGGGCAGGCAGCCAAGTTGGTAGCAGGGCAGGCATCATGGCAAGCAAGGAAGTATCAACAAGGCAAGTGCGGGGGAAGGCGAGCAGCAAGGCCTTGGAACGAGGCACCAAGGCAAGCCAATGAGCAGGATCAAGACGAAGGGATGAGGATGGGGGAGATGGAGATGGAGCTGGAAGGGACAGCGCAGCTCCAACGCAGACTCAACACGAACGCACTCCAAACTGTGCAAAATGAAGAATGAGACTGAAACAGACTGCAGCTGGGGTATACCCCAGCGGAGTGACTGGACGGGACTGGACTGGCCTGGTACCTACAGTGGTACCGGGTAGGACTGGACTGGACTGAATGAGCACACGGCCTGTGGGGTCAGCAGCAAAGCAGAGGGCAGGCAAGTAGGCAGCGAAGCAGTGAGCAAGGCAACCAAGCAACTATCAACAAGGCAAGCAAGAGGGCAAACAGGCGACAGGGAAGGGGAAGCAAGAGAGAAGAGAAGTAGCAGCTTAGCAACAGAACACAAGGCAAACGGGGAAGCAGTGATGCAGTGCACAGCAAGGTGGACATGCAGAGAGTGGTGCAGCACTGGCAAGGCCATCCATGCGTACAAGCACGTCCCAGCTCAGATCATCAGATACTCACACCACAAGTAGAGCTCTAGAAACTGTAGGTTCACACCACCATAAAGAGCCAGGAAACCACAAGACTAATGACTGTGACCACCAGGGAGGACTGAGACGCGGGCATCCCAAATACACCAAGCCCCCTAATGGTGTTGCAGGCACTTGGCACTTCTAACAAGCGTTTGTCGAGTATTCAGCACATCTGAAACCACTAGTCCCACCTCCCCACCCTTCCGTATATACACGCCGTGAAAATGAAGGCTCGTATATGGCCCAGTAGTGGGCTGGTAGGGAGTAGGAATGGGCCCGGGAGGGAGGGTGTCTCGGAAGAAAAAGGTTGCATTCACACAGCCGGCTGGTACCAGTACCGCATCATGTTTCCCCACAGCCGCTACCATTCAAAAAGAGGCTCGGATGTTCCAATTTTCAGGTTCAGTGGGACTGGTGTTTTGAAGGTGATGCACTTAGACACTAAGGAACACAGATGAAAAGGCCAGAACGCACAAAGTGGCAACACGAAGCAAATAATTAGAACGAGAGGAAGAAAAGAAGCTATAGATAAAATATGATGGTCTTTGTGTGTGTATGTGCACGTGTGCATGAGTGCATGTGTGCATGTGTGCATGTGTGCATCGTGCATGTGTGCATGTGTGCCTGTGTGCATGTATGCATGTGTGCATGTGTGCATGTGGTGTGCATGTGTGTGTATGTATGTATGTGTGTATGTGTGTATGTGGGTATGTGTGTATGTGGGTATGTGTGTATGTGTGCATGTGTGTATGTGTGTTTTGAATTTTCACCACAACAGGCCCTAATCCACCCAGATGAGTAGAACCAAAATCGAAGCAGCTGTAGCCCTATTGCAGACAACGAAGCACACTTGAGTTGAGACATTCCAATGATGAATCTGTTTTACCTCTATAGAAAGTATCACAGAGCACAATAAATATGTGTATGTGTATGTGTATGTGTATGTGTATGTGTATGTGTATGTGTATGTGTATGTGTGTATGTGTATTTGTGTATGTGTATTTGTGTATGTGTATGTGTATGTGTATGTGTGTGTATGTGTGTATGTGTATGTGTATGTGTGTATGTTTTTTATAACAAACACCTGGTATGACCCAAATCCATCCAAAAACTAACAAGAGATAAATAATGAGTGAGAGGTCCACCATGTGTGTGTGTTTGTTGAGGAGGGGGGGAGGGGGGGGTGCGAGGGGCCGGGAGGGTGCGGGCAGGGGAAGGTAGTGGGAGGGAGGCTGACTGCTATACAATTATAAATATTGCGAACTCCCCAGATTGTGCAGCCTCAGAGTCAGTCCAGCCGTGCTAGGCAAAACAGAGAGGTACTCAATGAAACCCATATGAGTTGTCATCCTTGCTAAGCACGGCTCCGCAACTCCGTTTTCGTTTGTGTATATGTATGTGCTCTTTGCTGCAGGTTCGACTCATTCTTTTGACGGCGGATACGAGTTATTCGCTTGAACCTTGAAGAGAATTGAACACAGATTCCATTTGATGGTGGATTCATGGAATACCCATCTCATGTGGTGGTACTGTAATCGTTTTATGGCGGGGAATCCGCCGGAATTGAAATGTATCTAAATGGATAGAGTAATCATTTGGCAGCAGCTTGTCCACGTCGGGGTTACAGCACTCCGTTATACGGACTTCATCCTTTGGTGAGAGAGCTTGAAAAGCCCAACACCATCAGGTCAGCCATCGTCCGCCACGGGTAAGCATCCAGAGTTTGTTTCCTTTGATGATTGATTGATCTGGAGCTGGTCATGAGCTATTTATTTCTTCGGGGCACCCATGAACAGCAGTGTTGCTTGGCATCCTTTTGCTGTACGATTAAGGGTGGTTGGTCGGGGCGGAAGACTTTTTTATTTTGTACCTTTTGTTAGATTTGCAAGTAGGGCATGTGAGAGGGTCTTTTTGGCTATGGCATACTGCGTAACAGACGGCAGACTCAGTGCATACTGCGTAACAGACGGCAGACTCGGTGCAGAGTGCATGAAATTTCTGGACTTCAATTTTTCAGAATGCGCCCTGACGCCTTAGGCCAACAAGAATAACACAGTTCCAGTCAATGTGATATTGGGGCTTGCTCAGCTATTTCAACACCCTACATGCATTTGGACGCTCTTCTAGACCAGGTGCATTCGACATTTTGAATACATCTGGACGATTATGAGCTCCAGATACATATATAGAGTGTTGTGTAGTGTCGCGAGACCCATTGTGATTCCGACAAGGATTCTTTGTTCTCAAGGCTGCTCCAATGCGACGTGGCAGTGAGGAGGGGGGGAGGGGGGAGGGGGGCGGGGGAGGGAGGGGGGGGGCACAGCAGAAAAGCTATCGACTCCATTGTGTTTGGCAGGGTTCAAACTCTTGATTAGCTGATTGATATTCATGTGGTTACACCATTCAATTATTACGCACCAGAAACAGGAGTGCATTTACAGATAATCAACCCTGTGTAGGGCCTTTAGGCCCTTCAGGGTCATTTTTAAGGTGATGTGTGTGTGGCCCTGCGTCAGTGCGCAACGTACAAATGTTAAGTCCATATCACAGGGTACCGCATCTTCGTACTTTAGGCCGGATGAGCATTTGTGACAAGTCTTCTTGCAGATGGGTCTGTGGATCCTTGTGCTCACAGCTAGATGCCCAACCTGGAAGCTAGGTCACTAGCAGGCCGGATAGCCAGATAGCCAGCTACCAAGCAGATCGAATAGGTAGGCAGTCGGCTAACTAGCAGGCCAAATAGCAGGGATAGCAAGCAAGTACATTTATTCAATCAAACACCGGTTGAATCATTCTGAAAGCAATTAAGTTTGAAATTGAAGTTGATTGAACAAAAGCAATACCATGTCTTGTGAGGAGAAGACAAAGCAGCAGGCAACCAGGCAGCTAGTGATGGAGGGAAGGTACTGGGTGGTAGCTGCCTGGCTAGCTGACTTACCCCCTTTCTGGAAAAAGGGTGACTAGCTAGCTGACTTTTACCCCCTTCCTGGATAAAGGGGGTGACTGGCTAGCTGACTTACCCCCCTCCTGGAAAAAGGGTGACTGGCTAGCTGACTTTTACCCCCTTCCTGAATAAAGGGTGACTGGCTAGCTGACTTACCCCCCTCCTGGAAAAAGGGTGACTGGCTAACTGACTTTTACTCCCTTCCTGGGTAAAGGGTGACTAGCTAGCTGACTTTTACCCCCCTCCTGGAAAAAGGGTGACTGGCTAGCTGACTTACCCCCTTTCCTTGCGAAAGGGGGTAAGTCAGCTAGCTAGTCACCTTCTATCCAGGAAGAGAGCTAACTGGGTGGTGGCCACTGGCCAGCTAGCTACCTTTTGTGTGACCCTCACTTTGCTTTGTAAAACCATAGGCCTTACACGCAATATGCCACCCTGTAATTGCTCATGTCCATGGACTCGACTAGGCGGTCGAATAGCCGGATAGCCAGATAGCCAGATAGCCAATCCATCACCCTTTAATTGCTCATCTCCAGCCTCAACTAGCTGGTCGAATAGCCGGGATAGCCAGATAGCCAGATAGCCAGGAATGATGAGTGAGGAGAAGGCAACTTGTCAGTGTGCTAGCCAGCTAGCCGTCTGGTAAGAGGAAGCACAGCTAGCTGGCTTGCCCATCATTATCCGAGGAGTGAGCTACTTGACTTGCCAGCAAGCCAGATAGCCAGATAGCCAGATAGCCAGCTATGGTCAGTGATTCAATGAGGAGGAGGCAACTTGGCAATGTGCTAGCCACCTAGCCATGAAGGGAGGAAGGCAACAGGAAGCACAGCTTGCTGGCTTGCCTGTTAGCAGAGAAGTGGGCTACTCGAAGAGCCAGCAGGTCAGCTCTCCTGTGACCCCCTCCATCCACATAGTACGTAGCCAAGAAGTGAGCGAACTGGCAAGCTAGCAAGTCAGCTCTCCTCTGGAAAACTCAGTCCACATCACACTTATAGGTCCTACACTCAATCTGACCGTTCTATACTTCGTTGAAGTCTAAGGGCCTCAACTCTCTTTTCAAGTTCGGCCAAACCGTGTTCCGCAATCATGTTTTATGTTCGGCAAAGTTAACGGTCTTCCCACCCCTCGGAGTTCTTCGGAGTTCTTCGTTATTCCGGTTCTATTTCTACTATTTTTGTAGTATTTTGAAGTTTCAGTTCTTTATCAGTATGTACGTTTCTGATCGGACTGTTGAGTGGTGGAGCAAGGCCCTAATTCTACTGAATATAGTCCACGTCCAATCTCTTTTTTTATTCTTTTTTTTTAATTTGGACCATTTCTCCATTTATGTGTGTCATCCTTGCGCAGGGGCCATGCTAATCTTCTCTGTATCGTTCCAATTTTAACGGATGTCCCGAAGGACACCTGCAATCTCTTTTTTTTGGGGGGTTTGGACCATTTCTCGATTTATGTGTGTCATCCTTGCGCAGCGGCCATGCTAATCTTCCTTCTCTGTCTGCTATCTGTACCTACCCTAACCACGATAAATCTGCCTCGCTGCAATGCGTTAGTTCTAATCCACAATCTGCCTGCTATCCTGCTTGCAAGAAAAAAAGCATCTGTAAGCGGTTGTATGATCTGCAACCTGTATCTGACCTGGAAATTGTTGCTTTGCTCTTCAATCTCTGTGAAGATTGGTGGGCGTACAGCTGCCCCAGCTGTCACCCAGATTGCAACAATGGTTGGTTTAGGGTTCAGGGTTTTAGGGTTTTTTAGGGTTTTAGGGTTTAGGGTTCAGGGTTTAGGGTTCAGGGTTTAGGGTTCAGGGTTTAGGGTTCAGGGTTTAGGGTTCAGGGTTTAGGGTTCAGGGTTTA